TTTTTTCTTTAAATAGTATTACCTCCGTCCCGGTGGACTTTGTCAAGTGAAAAGTAGATGAGAAATAAGAATAGTAAAAAGTGTGTGGTTGAGATTTGTGCAGAATTGAGAAAAATGTGCAGAACCACAAATTAGTTGCTTTAATAGGTAAGCGACAAAGTTTTTTGGGACAAAAATAAAGGAAAGTTGAAAAAGTCTAATGGGACGGAGGAAGTAGTAAAATATATTTTAAGCACATTTTTATAATTCATCATTTGCACCAAATTCAATCATTTCAATCATTTGGATTTCGATGGATCTCAACAATACCAGAGGGACTAAAAACTGCAAGAAATGCACAAATAATGTGCAGCTATCCTTGTTCTATATTTCGAACCGAATCACATGCTTTAGTGATTAAGAATAGGCCGTGTAACCAATCATTCCAACTCACAGGATGAGAGGAGGTTTAGATTTCGAATCCCGTTAGGCACATTTAGGAGAGATGAGAGAGATGTTGCTCCCAATGATTCTTCCTACCTTCACGGAGTTGCACAGCGGCTTAGAAAGGAGGGGATGAAAATTTAGGTCGCAAGTTCGCGTCGTGGGAGGACCCTTCTGGATACAAATGAAAGGAAGCACTGCATAGTAGGAGGACTTTTCTAGATTCAGTTGAAAGGAAGTCCTGTTGGATTCGTCCTGTGGTATCAATACCGATGAAGATTGATTGTGATAATATTCGGATTAGACCGTCTAAAAGCTTTAGAGGATAGTTGATAGACTACGGAGCGCAAACACACTTGGACCATAAAAAAAAAAAAAGAATCGGCCGTGTGCTCTGAGTTATTTCATTTCATCTTAATGAATTGGTGGTTTCAATAATTAGCAGTTGATACTGAGATGACATTTGTAAAGGAAAGCATGTGCTTGATAAGCTATTAAGGAAAAGATCACTTAACTTTAATTACAGGTCTACGTGCATTGTCTTGTCCGCACTCTCGAATTGACATACACACCGCAACAATGCCCTGTTTTTCTTTCTTGAAGGGAGGGATTTGGTTTTGGATAAGGATAACGATAATTTCAATATTTAAAATTATTAGGATTTGTGTTTTCATATATGGATTCTGTAAAGAAAACAAAGAGGATGACCCGTTTTCGGATTATCGGTCATATCAATCAACTTTTTAATCAAACGAATAACTTTTAATATTGGTTGAATTGTGTAACAATCAAAATAAATAACTTTAAAATTACTTTTATGAAATTACTGTATATAATGACCACACATAGCTTGCTCAGTTTTTATCAAACCTTAGTATAAGACTCATTATCTTTTCAATTCTTCAATTTTTTGGGTGAAAGTTTTTAAACACCTTAATGGTAAGTAAATTAAAATTGCAATCTTTTCCCTATGAGTTAGAAATTTATTTCTGTATTTCTTGTCTCAAGATGAAAGGTGTTCTTAGTGAGAATCCCAATGGAGAACCTTAGTATATACTTCGTACTCCGTAACTAATTTAGATTTCATCACACGTGATTATATAACTTATTTCCTTTTTAATTCCTTACGTTTTAAATAGAAAATTTCAACACAGCTTAATTATAAGTAACTAATTAACTTAAAACTACAGTTTCCTTTAGTGATTTTAACAGAAAAACTTTTAATGTTGGTATAAGATAATAGCATATTGTTTTTTCTTTAAAGCAATATAGAGATAATCATCACAAGAATTGTTAGCATTCATTTTTATCGATATTCGAAGAGTGTGAGAATGTTTAGGGGCCAAAAATAACTTGGTCTTTTCACGTTAAGCACTAATCACTTTCACAAAAGCTCAGTACAGCACATACACTCATACTCATAAATTAAGACAAGTGAAATTTAAGAATGTTGGAAGATCACAGTTGCACTCTAGAGTGACATTCATATTAAGAGCCCATTTGGTGACATGATAATCGGCTGAAATGGCTCCACTGACTGATTCCGCTGATTTTAGAAAAAAATAATTTTAAAATACATTTATTAATAAAATAAAGAAAAATTATATGTAAAAATACCTAAAATGATCATCTACAGTAACTTCAGCCAATACAGTCATAAAAGTAACTCTAACATTAGTTTTTCTTATTATTACACAATTCAGCGCACGAAAACAAAACTTACATGTTTGGTGAAAAAGTTGATTGATAAGCCTAATAAGTCGAAAAACAGTGTTACCAAACGACCTCTAAGTCTCACATAGTAGAACCACTCCCAACATTTTTTTAGAATGACACACATAAACACACTCATAGAGTCATAGTGATGAAAATTCTTACACTTTCGGAATCTTCTCAAGTATTAGCGCTTGGAGTAAAATTGCGTAGACAAATTGCTAGAAATAAGCTAGATTATTCAACAGAATAAAATTATTTATTTATTTATCGAACATTCGAGCTAACCATAAAGCCATTGGAATTATAGATTAAAGGGTCATAGGTTTTGCGCACAAACATGAACAAGTCTCTTATTAGACCATCTCCAACCAGCATCATCTTCAACACCAAAATGGTGTATTTGGCAAAAAATGCTCCAACAATAACACCAAACTTGACACCATTACACCAAAATGGGGGAGGGGGAATGATTTGCGCTATATATGGCGTACGCCATTTCTTGCACCATCCTCTTTTTGTATTTTTTTTTCTTTCAAATGTGACCCAAAGTTTTGGTTATTATAGTTTTGACCCATTTTTAAAACAACAAATAGGAAGTTTTACTTGGACTGAAATTTGTTGGTTCGGTCTGATTTGGTCTGGTCTGAATTGATGTGACCTGGTCTGATTTCTTTGTATTTTTATAACTACCCAAGTTTGGTCAAATTCGGTCTGATCTGATCTGAAACAAATTACAGTCCAAGTAAAAACATCCTTATACAACAACAATCAAAACAAATAATTTGATAAAAAAAATATAATAACTTTTAAATCACACAATATTATAAATAAAGATTCAAATCCAAACAACATAATAACAGAAAAAAATATTACTTAAGAAAATAACATAATTAAAATTACAATTAATAACATCATTATAATAAAAATTAAAACATCATAAAAAACATACATAGTACATACTAATTTTAGCTTGTATTTGTGAAATATTGATTATTGTGTTTTAATTAGTGAAATGCGTGAAAATACATATTAAAATGATGTATTTTAGTTTGTATGTGTGAAATAATGTGTGAAATGTCAAAATATTAAATGAGGGGCTAATGTATAAATATAAGATAGTTAGATACTTAAATAGAAGAATGGTAAAAAGTTAGTAAAAAGAATAAAAATAGAATATTTCTTTTTGGTGATGAAAATTAGGGGTGGTCTCGGGCCGGGCCAACCGGCCCGGAACCGGACCGGCCCGCCATTGTGCGGGCCCGGACCGGCCCGGGAACCGGTTCGTTGGGCGGTTCGGGCCACCCGGCCCGGTGGATTCTCGGTTCGGGCTCGGGCCCTTCAAAAGATGAACCGGCCCGGCCGGTTCGGGCCCGGGCCGGGCCAATTTTAATTTTTTTTTTGAATTTTTTTTTGAGTTTTTGGGTTGGGCTGGTTATTTTGGGTCATTTGAGGTGGTTAGGGTTGGTTTGGGGGTGAGGGGGAGGGGTGGGGGTTAACTAGGAAAAGCCCCAAAAAAAAAAAAAAATACCCGAGGCCCGGCCCGGCCCGGACCCGGGGTTTACCCGGGCCGGTTCCGGGCCTCCCCTTCTTGAACCGAGGCCCGACCGGGCCCAGGCCCGAACCGGGCCCGAACCGGCCCGAGTCCACTCCTAATGAAAATGGTGTAAACTGTTGGAGATAAAATAATGTTTGATGTGATGTTTATACCATTTTAATGTAAAAAATGGTGTTAACTGTTGGAGCTGGCCTTAAAGAATTGGCATTATTTGAGAATTTGAGATGTACGTACTAATATTGTAATACACTAATACTTAAATGCCTTAAGCAGTTCAACTATGATGGAAGGGTGGATAGACAAGGGATGGACTCAGCCGGCACTCTTGGGCCCAATGGGTTAAAAAAATAAAATAAATGGATGGGACCCAACTCAGGTCGGTACCGTTTGGGCATAGAACGGAATTCATACCGAGCCTGTACGAGGCTCCACTTTTCTAGAAGCGGTACTGCCCGGCCTCGGTCCAACCCGGGTCTATTTCTAGGATAGACCCTTGTCTATACAATTGGAAAGAGGTGAGGGATAGATGTTTGGCCGTACATGTTATAAAATTGAGGATGAACCATGGTAATCATTTGGCTAAAATCATAGAGTTAATTCTGCTTTTGGTTATACGAGTTTTATGTCAATTTCATATTTACTCCACGTCTTTCACTTTGTCCACTTTTGGTACTTGACTATTGTTTTGTTGACCATTTTCGATCCATCTCTAGGCATTTTAACCACCAAAAAAGGACTATATATGGGCGAAAAACAATAGTCATGTACCAAAAGTGATTAAAGTCAAAGACGTGGATTAATTGTGGAATTGATGCAACAGTCGTAGGACAAAATATGGAATTTATTTGAAATCATACTGTGCAATAAGGTGTCAGATAAGCTAATTGGCAAACCAGCAAATGGTTTGAATGACATCCTTAATTGACAAATCATGAATACAACTCTTTATTTTTGAAGGATATTATTTTTAATACAATTTATAGTTTTGTTAATTAAAATCAATGCCGATAATACGTACTCCCTCCGTATCTATTTAATTGCCATACTTTTCTTTTTTGGTGTATCAAATTAATCATCTCCTTTCCTTTTTTAGAAAAAATCTCACTCAAAAAGCAGCTACAGTACCGAGTACCACTACAGTAACAAAAACCTCTCATTTTTCATAAAGTCCGCAATAATAATTATCTTAAACTCCGTGAAAAGCAAATGGGTCAACTATTAGATACGGAGGGAGTATATACCAATATTTCCATTAAACTTAAATACCCAATTTTGACATGAAAGATATATTTGGAATCATGGTTTTGGATGAGAAATGGAAAATGAGACAATCGTCCCTTGCTAGTAGTTTTGTAACGTCTATAATTAATAGCATGACCAACGTTCCTTGAACATCGCAGCTTTGAAACTTCTATGCAATTAAACGACAAAAGGAATGCAAACAGAGGAATGAACCATAACAAATTAGAAATACTGTGTATTACACTTGAAAAGCTGAAAGAACCTGTTCAAATATAAACTGATTGCAATTGTACTCTCTAATAAAAATTGACTATTTGATCCTGGGCATGATGCCGTAGTTGTATCTTCCTTTTTAAAGGAATGGGGGTAAGATTACCCACCTTCGGGGGTATTTAGGCCTTCCTTCTTTTCCATCAAATAGCTGCAGAAAACAGACAAGTTTTAACAACTGAGCTTCTTCAATATGCACATTTTTCCCCAATAAATCACCACAGTTTCAAAAATAATAAATAACAAATAAGCTTTGACCCATGGAATCCAACTTGCTGACTTCATGAAACAAGAAAAATCTCCCACCCAAACCAAAACCCAACCAGGTTCTTGTTCTAATATTTTTCACAGCCGTTTGAAACTAGTTGAAGCTAAAACCAAGCAACACACACACACAAATCAATAAAGGGCATCCAGGTGCACGAATGCATCACAGCAAGGCGAGGGTCTGGGGAAGGGTCCCATCATAAGAAAGTATGAGGGGGCAAGCCTTCCCCTATCAAATTTTGATAAGAGGTCTCTCCCAAGTCGAACCCGTGACCTCTTGCTCATATAGCAACACCTTAACCCGTGACTTCACACACAAATTGATTAAAAAAAAAGACACAAACCGAACCCAAATTAACCAAGTTTGATTTTAAGTCAGCAAAAATGTCTCCAACCCATTCTAAAGACAGTTCTTGACCAAGGACTCCCTTTTTGAAACATAATGAATAATTCAATGTTTATTATGGATGTTTTATTTTTGTTATTGGGGGGGGGGGTTACCTTCTTTAGGCGCCGATGCTTTCCAAGAGCCCAGTTAGTCATAATGCCGGCAGCAACTATCATGAATACATAGCCAGCAGCTGTCTGTGTTGCAATATTGAACCCCAACCACTGATAAATCTCAGTGGTGTAATTTGCACATGTGACAATGTTAAACAAGAATCCACGAGGGATTTGGTACCCTCCACCACCACCTGCACCTCTGAGATTTCTCAACAATATATGACAATAAAAGTTACAAACTTGACAAATCAGCCCAAACGCAAACCCAATCTTCATCTGGGCATCACCCACTGGGGTGTAAAATGGGTGATTCACATAGTAAGCAATGACAGAGGAAAACGACCAATAATATGCGCAGTTCCTGAAGACATTTGAAATTGGAGAAGTGGCGTGGCTGAAACGGTGCACAAAAAACGTCTCTAGGATCCGTTTGGCATAATGGAAACAGAAGTAATACATAGCATATGTCTGGACTGGGTGGATAACACGTTTTCCTTCATAGCCTAAGTGTTTGTAGATTGGGAAGTAATAGAAGAGGGGGTAGATAAACAGGGGACCCACATACTCCCAGAAGAAGAGAGTGCTGTATTTGACTTGTGGTCCCAGATCCTTGAAAACAACAGTAAGCTCATTTGTGTTCCCATCAGTATAATCTTTTAGACTCTTTTGATAGTGAAGAACAGTTGGCTTCTGAGTAGAGCCGCGCGCGAGAGGGAGAGTAAGTCTCTGTCTGGATGGATAGTATTTCTTGGCTGTAGATTTCAGACATTTATCAGTAAAAAAGTGACCGAATGTGCACAGATATGGAACAATGTATCTGGCCCAGAATATAAAGCAAACATATAACTATGAAGGCAATAAAAAAACATTTCAACCTAGCTGCACATTCCCATGGACATATCGAAATAAAACAACTTTGCACTCAGTTATTTTCCATTATAACAAACACGCATTTAAGCTTCGGTAAATTTTGGTTCATAGAGGGTGTTTGGTACTTTCCATATGAAATACTTTCCATTGAAATACTTCCCTAAAAATTCACTTTCCTAGTCAGAGAGGAAGATAATCCATTTGACTAATTACTTTCTTTGGTCAAATGACAAACCAAAAAATCTCTTCAACTAATTTCTCAGAAATTTACGTACTCTCCATCCTAAGAGAAGCCTTTGCTCGAAACTCGTTTCCTTTTCAGGGAAAGTGTATGACAACAGAATCCTCAGAGGTATGAGCATGGCATGGTTCAGTTTACTTAAGTAATTTAGGATAGACTGGGTGAGAATTAGAGATATATAATGTGTAGTATACAATATTCACTACATCTAGCAATGAAATTACAAATGCTCCGACTGTTCATTGTTCAGTTTATTCCTTGCACCCAGGGAAGGAGCCAAGGCGGGCAGGTGGTGGAAGCCACCCTCCCCACACCTTCCTGGTTTTTTAATAAGCTATATACAGTATATGGCATCTTTTATGTAAAATTATATGTAGTAATAAATTTCTGAACTTCCTCATATAAAATCTGGGAAAAAGTAATTTACCGCATTCATTGAAAAAGCACAGCTCTTTCTCTACTACCACCTCAAAAACTAGTCTTTCAAAAGTTCGGAATGAAATTATTCTGATCCAATATGAGCACGAAATGAAGGTTTTGAAAGTAATTGCCCCATTTTATTAGAAATAATTACTAAAATAAATGTTGTTTACAAAAAAAGTGACCTTCTAAGTGTAGTGACTATAGATTATAGAATTAACTTAGTCATAGTAAGTTACTACCTCCGTCCCGTTAGAAGGTTCCCATAGCAAAATGGCACGGTAATTTAGGCAATAATTAAATAAAGTACTTCGAGTATATTTTGAGAAATAATTTTAATAGGTATATATTATAATGTAGTTAGTATTGATAAATGTGATGTTATAAATGTATTATTTTTAATATTTAATGATTAATTTGTCACTTAAGATTTTTAATTGTTTCTTAAAATGGAAATAGGAACCTTCTAACGGGACGTCCAAAAAAGGAAAGTGGGAACCTTCTAATGGGACGGAGGGAGTAGTAACTAACGTTCAATTTTTACACTTAAGTGACTATGAGACTATACAATAGTAACTGTTAGTTATAATTTTTTCTTGTCTTTGGGAAGAGGGAAGTTGCAATTAATCACATGGATATTGCTCCCAGATATGCTAGAATTCTAATGGGTGTTTCTAATACAGCCGGAACATTAGCTGACATTGTTGGAGTAGATCTTACGAGACGTCTGCTTGAATCTGCTAAGCTTCTCGAATCTCGTTTGGATCTTACAAGCACAGAAAGCTGGATGGATGTTTTTACCATTCCAGGATTTTTGTTTGTATTTTCAGCTCTTTAGTTTTTCTATTATTCTCTAGTGGAGAACCTGTTTTTGACTGAAGTCATTATGTTACTTAGCTTATTCAGTAACCAGAGACAATTGTCAGAAGGGAGTGTTTTTTCCTTTGTTTCACTCATAGATAATTGTATGTCCAAGCCTCAAAAGTTATGATATGTACCTTTGATGGTTGATAAAAAATTATTATTTATTATATTTATTATATTTACAAAGAGGTGTACACACATTTGGCTAATGTTAATGAGAATTATAGATCAATCGGTTGTATTGATTAGTAGTACTCCCAGGAACGTATATACTCCGTATTTAATATGAGCTAATTAAACTTCTAATATTTATTGTTTATTTCTGACTTCACTCATTCATGTGATAAATAATAATATGAGTATATGACTTATAAATGCGGTCGTTTATGTATTAATATTTATAATAATATCTCCGTTTTACATCTCTGTGAAAGACCCGTATAAATAGAATAAGCACACTGAACAATACATACTAGTCGATTTGTGGAATCAACCGTGGGCAAACCGCAAACATAAAACTGATAAAAGGAAGAAAATTTTACTGGCCATAGCCCATAGTAGAGACTTATTTTTCCTATAAGAGAAAAACTATCCTAATTTGAACGTCTTACTCCGTGAAATTGCATTTCATTTTTTACTTAACTGTTTAGAACTCTTCTACGTAGTATTAAATTTATAAAGATTTTTTAAAACCTTTTTATTCTTTTTCCGTTAATCAAATTAAATCACACAAAGATTACACTGAATATTTTGCGCTAGGACAAATAAAATGGGAAAAGAAAAGTAGAATAAGAATCACTTACTCCGTCTATGAATTTGCTCCTGCAGATCAGAAACTGTAGCCTGCGAAATCCGAAAAATACAGCTGAAATCAAACAAGACGCAAGAGAAAATCAAAGCTCTCAAATGCAGAGATGAAAGCTGAAAACAGAGAATACGTACTGAATCACTGAGGTCAAGTCCGCCCTTGATGAGCTCTCTGCCGCTCCTGGTGTTGACGAAGACCTTCATTTCACTGCTCTGCTCACGAGCCTCCGAGGGAGGAAGCTAGGAAGAGGAGTGGTTATTAGTATGTGCAGCAGAGCGGAGAAAGAGGAGGCTTCAATGGCGTGGTTGAATCTTAATGGGGAGTAGTTGGGCCGTTGAGCTACCTCGCTTTCCTCGCCCATTCATCCCCTTACCTAAAAATGGCCCAATTGTGTGCCTAATTAATTCCTGAACCTCTGTGGGCCCATCCGGGATGCACATTCTTATTCTTTTTTACCGTAATCTGATGGTATGATATAATCTAGTTTGTTGAAGTCTGGTCTAGTTTGATCTTAAATGGTCTAGTATTATCTAGGTTACATGAGGGGCAGAACCAAACTTATAGCACCGAGAGATTTTTCCACGTATGACCTTTTTTCTTGAAGAGAGAGAAGTTAACGTCCAAAAAAACTAGTCATGCGAGAATCGTGTTGATCTTTTTCAAATGCCGAGTATCATTTTTCCTTTAAGAGATTTTGAAAAACTCACATGCAAGATTGACGCAAATCATCTTCACGATATATGGCAAATTGAATAGGACTAGGTTTTATAGGAGTAAATAAAAGAAATGAAAAATAAATTGGTAAATCTATCGTTCGATAGTTCGCACATTAAAACTTTTTTTTAAATTACACGCATAGTTATTGCAGTGCCTTATAAAAATCATGCATAGTGTTTATGAGTACCTCTCATAAATCTTTTAACATTACACTGTGATTAATGTTTTAAAAAAATTCTACCGTTTAATAGACCAAATAGGGTAAGCCTTTTACATTTCTCCTTCAGAATAATTAGTTTGCATCCTACCAAAGTCACTATAGGCTTGTTTGGTAGTTTACACGTTAAATCTTTAATTTGCATGCAAAATGATTGAATGCAAAGTTTAGGGAAGCAATTATTTTTGCATTTAAAATATATTACATTGTTTGGCTAGATGTGTAACTTATTTTTAATTTGCATGTATAGACGTTGCAGTGCATTATAAAAAGCATGCAAAGTATTTTACCCCCATTTAAATACTTTACATGGTACAGTGTGAAATATTTTAAAAAATGTCATACAGTTTACATTAAATAATCAAATCAAACTGAAATCCTCTTGATCCCTCCGCTTCACATGCAAAAGTGATCACTTTATATCCTCTCAAACGCGCTCCATGTGATGTTTTAAAATCTCATACTAAAGGTATTTCTATTTGATCCATTCAAGACTGACACAAATTTAACTAGGTCACGTGGAGTTTTAAAAAAGTAGAATGAACCATGCATTTAGGAACGCTTTTAGGAATTCTCACTAAAATTCTATGAAAACGTATCCCAAAAATCATGACACTTAGAACATCTTCAATGTCACGATGTGCACGGTGCACATGTAGCATGACAGATAACCAAATAAATATTAGCAAATAAATCATGTCTTTCTTTATTTGAATGATTTTGTACAATTTTAGTTTGTTTTTTCTCCACAATATCAAGATCATCTAGATGTTGACATTGTGGTTGACATTGCAGAGAAAAACTTACCAAAATTAAATAAAATCATTCAAATAAGGAGATAGATGATTTATTTGCTAATATTTATGTGACTACCTCTCATGTCACTTGTGCACCGTGCACATTGTAGCATTAGAGATGTTTTTAGCCGTCTGATTATTCATTTCTTTTATTCACTCCGGTAAGATCTAAAATAATAAAAGTAAGAAGTCTCAATAAAACATGCACAAGCTCTAGACTTGGAGCTGCTTTGTTTGATTGTTTCGATCTAAATTTCATTGTCTAAAAACATTATTATTGTGAATGTGAGTTAGTACCCTTAAATTATGTCCATCCATTATACGCATAAGATGTTGTACATTTTTATTAAATGATTGTACTTCTTCTTTCCATGGATATAAATGCGCCTACTCTGTTTAATTTTAAGAAGTAAGGTTACCACCAAGTAGCGTTAAACTTAACGGATGCAATCATATTTTGAGAGGCAAAATTTATTGAGTAATTAATATTTATTTATTTCCTTCAATGTCATTTAAATACTTTTTGAGTCTTAGTTATTCCTTTCAATTTCACTTAAATAATTTTTTAGTCTTGTTGTAGTGATTAAAGCAGTACAATTCTCAAATTCCAAAGTTAGATTATCTAAATGTATTTGAAATGTTGACTAGGGATAAAACAATAGTCCCTTTTAAACACACACAAACATATGAATGAAGTGTCACATTGTTAGTAAATTTTAATTGTCCATCTTCCACCATATAATTATGTCTCATCCTAATTTATTCGATCACAACTCTTATTCTTCTACACTTTTAAGTGTTTGCTTTTATGATCCCGACACTGGCTAATTATAGTACATTATGTTTTATATGCTTCTTTTTCATAACATTATTTTCGAAGCATAATTATCTTAGATCATTTAGTGTTCTTATAAGCATTTTATTTAGTCCGTCACACTTTTGAGTCAATAAAGAAGCCGATTTCCAAAATAATTGCACCTATTATTTGTCAGAATATTTTTAAATTTAGTTTTTCGAACCTGTGGAATTCAACAAGCACTTAGTCTCATCACAACACCGGCTCAGTATCCATGTATATCAAGGTGGCAATAACACATAATCCCTTCCTTCCCAAAAAAGTTTGCTAATTTGACTTTTTTTAATCAACGACGATCAACTTTGACAAATGATATTTTTAACATGAATTTTTTTTAATATGAAAATTATATTAAAATTTTCCTTATTTAATTTTTTCCCAGAAAAGTATAAGATTTATAAATTATATACAAATATAATATAATAATTAAAATCGTTACCCAAAACTTGTCATCATTGACAAAAAAAAAGTTAATATGACCGACCTTTTCGAGACGGGGGTAGTACTATGTAATAATTCACTTTCAAAACCTACCATGGATACAATTGTTTCATGCTCTACGCGCATTAAAATCTCTCACAAAAATATGACTTCTCTAGCTTACATTAGCATTGGGCATATGATATCGCGCCTTGTCAGGACCGGTCCTGTCCATTTATGGGCCTATGAGCGGTACACTATTTTAGGCTTATATCCATGACAAACAGTGAATCATATTTGGGAATGAAGTTCATAAAATAAAGGCGAAAATCACTTCATAGGCAACCTTCTTTCCACGAATAAATATGATAAATAATAAAATTGCCACAAATAACAACACTAAATTTTCTTCTGAAAGGATTTGAAAAGAAATATTACCACATATTGAATTTATAAGTTGAGAATGATTTATTCACCGCTAATGAGAGTCTAAAGTTTGAGGTCTTGAAAGAGTGAATGTTTTCAAAGAGACAACATGTTTGGCTACCAAGAGGACTCACACAAGAAGATTGCAAATTTGACGTCCTCTAAAACAACTATTAGAAACTCAGATATAGCTTATTGAAATTTGGAAACAAATGAATAATTGGGGTGAGATGTGTCCCAAAAAAAATAATTGGGGTAAGATTTGAGAGAAACATGCTCTCAAATAATTATATAAATTTGTTATGTAATAATTAAATTGAATAAAAACCTTAAAAGCTAAAAAGATGTGAGGAATGGAGAGATGTGTCTTTTATTTATGCAGCAACAATTTTATTGCTTTTAAAAACTACAACCGATCATGCTAAAATTAATGTATATATTCTTTTTTAAATTTGGCTCTGTTTAAGACTCTTTATTTATGTTTTAAATTTTCAAATTGTCAACAAAATTAATCATTAAGCTTAATTAAATGAACTTAAGGATAAAAAAAATAAACCTACTCGTACTATATAAAGAAAAAAAATTGGCCATATTTTTTCTTCTATTTTTTCAGGTCTAGGACGCTCGCCCCTTTTGCCCCCCCCCCCCCCCCCCCCCCCTCAAAATCGGTCATGCGCCTTGTGCGACCGCGTGCTAGTCATGATAATGATAACCAGAGCCGTGCTTACTGTGAGGCACACTGAGGCATGGGCCTCAGGGCCCCAAAAAAGTCAAAAATTTAGGGACCCAATATTTTAGCTATTTTCCTTTATATGTATTATATGTATTTTTACATATAAAAGATATGTCTTTGTTAAATTATATCACTACTGCATTTGAAAATTGAAATAGCCGACAACTTGACCAATGAAGTTAGAAGAGGAACATCCGAACTAGATTACTAGAGCCGCTGGGCGGTGCGCCGGTAAAAGACATGTCTTTTAGTTTTCAGTTTTTTGTGAATAGCTTTTGAGTTTTCAAGTTTTCACTTTTGGACACAATGAAAAACTTTTGTTTTGTCTTAATCGAAGATAAATATAAATTGTTCCAGGGTTGATTTGAGATCATATTGCTGGATTCATACATTTAGAAAATTAAGTTTGAACTTAACTGACTATTCAAACGAGCTGAGATGCATAATTAAACAATTTCAGTTTTTTTTATATTTAAAATTTACATTTTAAGTAGGTTATGTCCTCTAATTTAGTGACAATAATGCATTATTTAGCACATTTGTTTAACTAATATTATGATATATGTCGCAAAAAAACTAATATTATCATATCTATGATTTCAATAAATTATGTTTTATTTATCTTGAGTTTGACCCAATAGAGAACTTACGTCTTATTAAGGATCATGAAACTAATGTTACATATCTTGCAGGAAGGATTCAAAATGAATTGATACAATTGTTGGCAAATGAAATTAGGAAAAGGATACAAAAACAAACATCACATATATAATCTTGTTGACAATTGAAAGGGTGAATGAATTAGCTATGTTATTAATTGAAAAGGAATTTATTGAACACCTCGATCGTGCTGACTTGATTAATACCTGTGCTGCTAAAACTGTACGACGGGTTGTACTTAATTAGTTACTTTTAATACATTTGGTATTTTTATATTATACTCCATATAATTTATTCAATTAACTATTTTGTGATGTTACATCTTTAACTTAAAAAAGTTATACTGCATAAAATTGTAATTTATTGGGGCCTTTTGTGAAGTTCGACTCAGGCTTGAGTTTAGGCAGGATCGGCACTGATGATAACCATCAACATATGTTAATCTTTAAAGCAATTGGCCTCTTATACCATTCCTTATAAAGCTTTTTTGTATAGCTAGCATTACCTGAGTTTTATAGACACTCCTGT